CTCTTTCCCTTATTACCAATAAAAACTTTGACAACGTTGTCTGCAACCACCATTCACTTCTCACATTCATCCAGATGGGCCCCACACATTAATTTAAAAAGTTGCAAGTGTAAATTAAAAGGACATTGATGGGAATGAGTGGAAGAGGTTGATACACTGTTCAAACACGGAAATCCTGAGTAAAAAAGCAACAAGTTCTCTGATCAAAAACTATACTTGCAATGTCTATTGCAATTGGAACATTCCATGAACAGGGCTCCTCTTCCAATGAGAAATTGTTTAATGTTTAGTCATTCGTATCCATGATTATTGAATGAGCCAACAATATGGATTCGTGATATAATCCTAGTTTAAAGGTGAGCAGCTTAAACAAAAAAAACAGCTGAATTGGTGTCTTGAGCGGCTACAGAAACATGGAACGATCATTCCCAGGTGAGTGAGCAACACTGCAATGATGTTAGAGCCAGATATACGGCATATTAGGGGAAAGGTACGAGTCTCACCTGTAGTGTATTGAAGTGAGTGTTTCCAAAGAACTCTGAGTTACGATACACTTAAAACGCTTTTTAGAGAAAAAAGGTTGTTTTCACAGAACTTGAAAGCTCAAGCTTCAATTTATACACACAAAAGTGATCCCCCCCTTTCCCAATCATTCCTGCTCTGCTCGGCCAGGCTATACAAAGTTTCAATCAGAGTGAGAAGGCAAACAGCTTCTGCTGTGATCTTTGTAAATATTTGTTTGTTGAACAAGGATTTTATATCCAGAGCAGAAAAAGTTTTGAAACCTCAATTGCGAGAAAACGTAAAAAAAAATCAAGGAAATTATTTAAATTATACTAGAAGCAGGTGTGGCTGTTTATTTGTGTGAGAATGTGTTGCCCCTGATTTATAGACATGGTCTCTTCTGACTGCAGAGTAGGCTAAAACTAGTAGCTAAGGCATGCTTGTGTGTGCAATGGGGGCTGTCTGTAATTCATCTGTAAAGAAATGATAAAATGACTAAGATATAAATAAATCATCGTTGCTTAGGATGTGTTGACCCATGAATAGAGGTTGACTAAGAGAGTGAAAATATAATGTATGCACCAACTTCCATGTGATTAGCAAACAGAGCTGTAAGCCAAAGCAATTAACCTTAATTATTAATCTATGTTGCTTCTCATGGAATATCAATAAACACGTCCTTGTTAAAACATTATTCTAGAGAGTACTATATGTACACAATCAGGTTTATTCAGTGTGGTAGGGTGTAAAGTGCTCTAACCCAGTGGTTCTCAACCTGTGTAACCTCGGGACCCACATGTTTCCTTGGTCATTAAGGCGTGACCCAAAACCCATGGCACCCAATCAAATTTCAGTTTACTGCAATATGAATAGTGAAAGATGATTCTTTTGAAATATTGCTAAGGCCAACTGTGTACTTTGTGTCTGTCTAAATAAGCTTCAACATATTGTGCAAGAGAATGAAAATAATTGCAATAATAGTAGTAATAATATGTTTACTTTGTACACTGTCTTAATATCTTGCATAAAATACCTCCCATAAACATAAAATCTATATGTCATTAACAAATATGGTTTCTCATATAGCAAGGACACACAGAAGATCTAATTATTCACTATTCAATGCCAGTGGTTGTAAAGGATTCAGATTTTAAACAAATTCTGAGAACTAGTATACTACATAAGTGGCAGGTGAACCAGGTACCACATCCAATGTGCAGGTGTGATAGCATCTTAACCATAGTGACCAGAGATGGTAATATCTGAGCAGTCAATGGTATATTAAATACAGCAGTTAAAAATACTATGAGGGGATTTTACTAAAACTGAAGCAGACAGAATCTGGAGCAGTTGTCCATAGTAGCCACTCATCCTCTCTCTTCAGTTTGTTCATTTTATGTGATATTAAAGTCAAAATCTTTTTAAAAGGTATTTCAAATGCTAATTAAATCACTTACAATGGATACTGCTCCTTGATGTTTAAAAGTTTCCTGCAGAATCAGCTGGTCCTCTGAGCTCTGGACCTGATATCCGGTTGTAAGGTAGCTCCCTTTACTTGCAGGGTCCTATGGAACCACGCTTGTGTATGTAAGTAGGCTGAGTGTGTCTCCACAAACACATAGACACAGCAAGGCTCGTTACCCTGTTCCTGCCTCCTTCCTTCTCCAAGCTAGTAGATGGACAGCTGCTGGAGATTGTGCTGTCCATTGTGATCTTCTACTCTTATACTGGACAGGAAGTTCAGGGAAGCCAAGCTGAAAGATTTGGAGCCTTATGTTGGCCAATGTATATTTGTTTGATCTGGAGTCATTATTGAAAAAAAGGTTGAGAGTTTTGTACTACTTTAAGCTTTGAAAATGAAAGAAAGAAGCTGATGGGTTGCCATGGGCAACTGCTCCACATTCTGTCTGCTCCAATTCTGTTAAATTCCTTTCCACGTATTTTAGAAAAATAAAGTTTAAATATTGACTTATAGGATAGAAAAGTTCAATTTTAAATAAAGTTTTCAAACCTAAGAGGAAAGCTTCAAAATATTCAAATGAATACAGTACATAACCTATGAGAACAAAATTTCCTGGAATAAAAGGAAAGTAGTGTATAGATGAATAGGAACGCTTCAGATATGACAAAGGGAGAATTTCAATTCTTACAGCTTGAGGTACTGAAAACGCATTAAGGCAGCATAACGTATAATAAAAACTGCAAAAAGAAGGACAGTTAGCTAAGATTGAAGCCAACAGATAGCTAATTATATTGAATTAAAAAGTTGTTCAAGTGTATACATTTTAAGAAAAAGTAACGTGACAATAAAGGACTTCTAAAACATATCTTAGGAAATAATATTGTAGATGTTATTGCAAAGCTAAGGTGTTAAATACTGTGAAGGATAGTTTTAAAGTTACCTTACACCTATTTTTGTATTCTAACCAAAAAAATATTTATAAACTTATGCTAGTACATGACACCTGTATAACCATATCTACCCAGA